TTACTAGGTTCAACTACAAAAAAACCACTCAAGTGTAGAGACGAAGTTTGGCTCAGCCATTCAGTCTGCTGCAGCCCCGAAGCTAACATCTTGCCAGCAACTTGTAGAACATTCCTTAGGTGGACCCCCCACCCAGTAATGGTGACTATAAAGGATAATGGGGATTGTATTAGGATCCTGTCATATTCTTATTATACCACTATTACATGGTGGGGGGTCCTCCTAAAACATTCCTGTGACCCCAACTACCTACAGTTATATGGATTATACCGTTATACCTATTAGTTAAGGGGGAAATACTCTTAACAACTGTAGGTAATTGGGGCCTTATAGGTTTAGCCAGTCCTATGGTCACTTCATACCTGAGCTTCTTAGTTGCAAGGATTGATGCTTTGCATGAAGTCTTATCATCAGTCACTGCTGGCCAGCCCGTATCCTCGGCGTGCCTTTGCGCTCTGCGAGTCGAGTGTCGAAGATGTTCATTCTGCTGGTTTCCAAGTTGCATTGGCTAGGTACCCCAGTAGTACCCTTTTTCCCTTTTTATTTGGGGTTCTCCATATTAAAACTGAATAGTAGGAAAAAGGGTACCCTTATTATTATGGGGTTACTGGGGAACCTAGTTGGCGACTAGACTCGTAAAGATATACACATGGATATACGGCTACACAAGAGGAACAGTCATGATGCCTGCGCCAGAATAATCCCTAAATTCTGTAAACTCTGCGCCCTTAACCCCTCCACAACCCCAAGCCCAACAATACCTGAACCCTAAAACGCAAGTCTAACCCGAAAGCATCTGATTAGTATTTCGGAGTAGCTTTCTGTATTCCCCAGCAGAGTGAGATGAGCTCTTCTTTTCGCTTATTGTATTTCACCCTAAATTTAAACCGTTAACCCATCCCTCGACGGAGGCAGTAGCCAAGAGTGCCACAAGCTTCCAGTGGACCCAGCCAAGAACTTAGTGTGACATTCAGAGTTCAAAGAATGGGCCAAAGGGCTTGGGGCTTGGGAATTAGGGTGTAGCCATATGTCTCGAATGTGCCAGCGCAAGATCTGGCAAGACCAAGCACAACAAGATAAACAGATGAAGCAAGGTTTGGGAAGTGCGACTGGTATTGATACTCACCATATTGCGTGACCTAAGTATACTCCATCGCCGCTATTCCCGTGTAATTTGGGTATTTACGGTCCTGCAGGATTCCTCAGTGTCCACTGTAGTACCAAGGCTACATGCAAGTCTCATCGTAATATTTTGATGAGGGATGCGGATGGGATCGCCCAACCTTGGGTGTGATTTTTCTGCTTGGAGGGCTGTGCTTGGAATCTTTGAAGCCTGGACAGCAGGCCATCCCCACAAAAGCGCGCTCATTTTCTTGTCCGAATGTTCCACAGCCTGCAGCAAGGAAAGCTCCCTGCTCCTGCTACTGCTGCTATAATCACAACTTCCATTCATATTCTCGGTACTGGTATGGTGGATGGAAGACGAAGTCTTGCATCAGTTAAGATCCCCAACAGACTGTCACTTTCAGGGTATGGGGTATATGCGGCCTTTCTACATTCACAGCTTGGTAGTTTTCATAAATAGGGGCCCCCATATAGACCGTGATGCGCTAACATCCTTAGCATCGACACCGCCATGTGCCCTACAGTATTAGTACTATAAACTCTCCCCCAGAAGCATGTAGAATAGCAGCCCTTTTGGCTCCGCTTTTCTCGTGTCCAGGTAGCAACAGCAGTTTCCTTAGTGCTCTTACTTCTGGACTTTAAAGGCCTCAAAGGCTGGGCTTTGGGGCAAGGGGGATGCCGCTGTTCCAAATTTTGATTTCCACTGTCAGCACTGAACCCTTGGTTTAGGGCTTAGGGCTAGGCCTTTCAATCCAGGCATGCCTATGAACCCTAAGCCCTGGACCGTAGCGCTTTACAAGGATCCCACTTTGAGTACCAGTCGGCTCTAGCATCCGTTTGAAGCAAACTCGAGGTAACGTGCCTTGTACAGGACAGGGCTCTCTCCGAGGTTGGTCCTGCTTATCATTTCCACTAGGTGTAGAGGCTCTGTAGGTAGTTTCCCAAAATTAGGGTACCCCAATATAGACCCCAAAATACTATAGACCTTATTATAGGGATCCCCAAAAAGGTACCCCCTAATTTTTGGAAACCCCCGTATCAGGCCCCGAGCACAGGTAAGGAGACCTTGAATCCTGAACCCGAAGCCGTCCCCTCGACCCACCGGACCACACGAGGCCTCCTAAAAACCATTTCTGAAAAAAGTAGAAGCGCCAGCATGATACCCTAGGAACAAAGAAAGGCATCTGCTGGTCAGTCCCCTCCAGGGTTTGGAGGCGGGATTTTCCATTTATGGGCCTCTCTTTTTGAATACTTCCGTCGACCCTAAGGCCTCTAGATAACCCTTCCTATCCCTTTAGAGCCTGAAGTATCCCTACAACCCTCTCTATCGTTATATGACCCCTGTATATCCTTATAACTTGGGTCATTCCCCCTTCCGGTAACTATCCTTAAGGGGCTTTACTAAGTGGCTATTATAACTCCTTCTATTCATTGTGATAACACTTACCGTCTGGGGAAAATGGAATGACCTAACCTATAACCCATATATCCCTATAGAACCCTACATGTGCCCATAGAACCCTCCGTATCCCGATAGAGCCTTAAACCCAAAACCCTAAACCTATAACCCCCTGAATGTCAGAAGCCTCTCTTCCAGGCCCAGCGCGGTCTATGGGCACCGCTTCAAGCTGAATGGGCGTTTGCCAGAGGGGCTGAGGCCGCGCTAAGAACTTCCTTCACATACGCCCCAAGGGCCCAAGCACCTAAATAGTATGTACTTTCAGAGCCCAAAGGACCTCTACTACTTGGCCAGTAGAAGAGCTTTAAGCTTTTTGGTGTCATCGACAAGGATTTGCTTTAAGCTTTTTGGGCTTCCTTTTTGGGTCTGTATAATAAAGCTTAAACTTTTTTAAACCCTGGTTATTGGGGAAGAGAGTATAGGAAATTATTTGGGCCCAAATCATCTACTATTTGAGTACTTGGACCCTTCGGACCAACAGTGAGATTGTTGGGGGAGTTGGGGTATATACGGATTATAGGCATTGAGCTTGTACCTTCTTTGGACAAGGTCTCTTGGGTGTTGGTCACGGATAGGGGAGGTCCATGGGCACACATATATACATATATACATATATATGATCTGAGAAGTAAGACGAACATAAGTTTGATGCTTAAAGCACTGCGCCCCTACTTCCAGCGATACTTTCTGCACCCTATATTTCAAGAGAAAGCGAACAAGTTGCTGATACCTAGGACAATCCTCAATCAATGTGAGAAAAGTTGGGGAAGTCAGACTTTTGCGTTGGGAATCGTACGGGGCTCGAAGCTCGCTACCTGCTGGGGGGCAGGATCCCTATACTAAACCCGAAACCTTTCAGGGATCCTTTCAAGGGTTTGTTTAAGGCTAGGTACCCCAGTAGTGTCCATTTTCCTTTTTTTGGTGATCTCCTTACTAAAGCTAAATATCAGGAAAAAGGGTACCCNNAAGGGGTCACTGGGGAACCTAGTAGAGACAAGTAGGAGCCAGGGTTGGGACTAGGCTTTTACACTTTGGGGTCAGCCGGCCCGTAGCTCCGGGTTGTGAGCCACACCATTCGAGTGCAAGCCCGTGAGCTCGAGCTCCTTTTTTTAATGGTTTCCCTTACCTGCCCACCCCATGCAAACCCCGTTGAGGTTCCTTTTTAGGTGGGCTAGTTAAAGGGGCTTACTGAACTCGTGACTTGTGAAGCAGGTATTGCCCAGAATTCATCACGGAGAGTGAGGAGAGCAATGTTGTTGTTTCCAAGTTCTTGGATTTGGCAGGAGCTTCTTTTTGTTCAAGGTGTTGGTTTGGTTTGTTTTGGGATGCCCTCGCTCTATGCGGATTCTGGGGGATTCAGCACAAAGAAGTCTGCAGCGGACACTTTCAAAACACCTGCATCGTGGTTACACAGAAGCATAAGAAAGGGGTCAGCATAGCAAGGTAATGTGAAAGTCAGCTCAACTTTCCTTCTAGATGCCTCTAATTTCGGATTCCCACACTATTTCTGCAATTCCCTCGAATCTCTGGAACCAGAATTTTTCAGAAGCCCCTATGCAGGCGGGGCTGGAGACATGTGGGGCCGAAGCAGGTTTCCGGGGAAGGCGCTCAATCCCTTCTCCCCAAGCAGGTCTAACCTTCCTGATGGTTCCTAGTAGGGAATGAAGGAATACATTNNTCCCTACTACTAAGAACCAGTAAGTCTTCCTAATGTTGAGCAATCCTTTTTGTATAGGAGCTCAGATGTACCTGGGACGATCATGGCGTTGGGGGGTTGTCGCACATGCGGGCAGGGCAACTCCCGTAATAACGAAGCACGGACGTTGCGGGTTACTGTCAGTGAGAACGGTCCATTTGAAGCACGC